TTTTTTTTTGGGAGAAACATAGCACTTTTCATTCCAAATGAGACCACCGGGGCCCGGGAACACACCCCTACATATCAACCCGGTACAAACTTGTTGAGGCCATTACTCAACTTAGGCTCCTGGAAACCGGGTCCAGTGTCCCTTAGAGGAATCTCCAAAAAGGAAAAAATTGCAAAGCAAATCTGTGACAGTACAGTATACTTGCTACTCAGGGAGACACGGGCATGTTTCTAAAATTGAAACACTATTGGCAAACAACTATGAGCTATAAACCACAAATCTCGAGAATGCATGAGGAAATTCGCGAATTTTTTCAAATCAACCCAAAAACTACTTCCAAGAGCCTGCTAAATTCTTAGATACAAATCAACTCTAAATTACGTCCAAGTGCGTGCTAAATTCTTAGATCCTGACCAGATATTGAAGCCGGGCGCATTAATATCGTCGACAGAAAATGGATGATTGAAAACAGCCAAGAGAATGGCCACATATAGAGAGTCCAAGGGAATTCAAAGAGAGAAAGAGGTGGATAACCACGACCACAGAATATACGAGTGGGGAAGATATGAGCCGGATTTTCCAGGATGGCACAAAGTCAAGCGTAGGACACTCCTCCCTGATTTACTAAGGACTGGAATTTTCCATTCTGGCTCACTAGCAGCGAGGATGAGGCTTCATTAGGCATCAACCTTAGGCAGGGTAGGACTGGGTACTTCAGATAGTCTCCGGCTGCCCTTTTCAACGGTTATGGTTCCCTATGTTTGTCACCTCAACTCTTTGATGTATCTTTTTATGCTTGCCGGGTATAAGTAACTGGACTGGATCCCGTCCAGAATAAACAGGGGGATGTTGCTGTGTGGAAAAAAAAAAAAAAAAAGCGCAACGTAAATTCCGGAGCTCAAAAAAGAATTCTCATCGTATTCCACAATGTTAGTCCCCAATATTTCAACATAAATTAAGCTTGTGTAAATTCTCATCGTATTCCACAATGTTAGTCCCCCGGCGGCCCCACCCCCCGGGGGGCAACATGAATTACCTCGTTTGCGAGGCCCTATGCTTGCAGGGGTCCCCTCTATGTAGTCTTAGGTAGGTAGGTAGTGTGAGGTGAATTTCAGAGAAGAATATAGCTTAAAAAAAAAAAAAAAAAAAAAAAAAAGCCTAAAGGCAAAAAGAAACTCGTGCCGGCAAAGAAACCAAGCGCCAACTTGAATGAGCGATTGCGGTCCAAAAGTATCCGTTGGGCTTCTTTTTTTTTTTTTTTTTTTCCCCTCTGACACCACGGCTGACCCCTGTAAATATGACACATCTATTCGCGGCGAAGAAACGAGTGCTGGCAACCGGGCTCAGTGTAACTCGTGAGAATGCAGAGAAGTTGAGAGAACATATTAACTATTATTAAGGTACCATGGCAATTGCCCGGCTTGAAATTCAGAAAAGGCCCCGGCTCACTATAATAATACGACACTACGCACAAACAAAGGTATCTATCGTACGTATACTAGTAAGTCATTGGTTCCCCCCCCTCCCCCCCAAGCCCTAATTAGGGTCCCCAACCCCCCACCTCTTTTCATCAGAGACCTTGTATTCATGACCTGAGAGGTCCATTATCTTGACCGTATTCCCGCCACAAGTTGCCATCCGATTCAACGCTTTGCAGTATGCCATGTCAGTGATTGCTTCCTGTCAGCATGTCAAACAAAAGATAGGATTGGCCCACAGAGGCCATACAATAGTACATAGAATTGCCCTGTGGTTAGCAAATGTGGATGTTCCTGTATACGAGCAAAAGGCCAATTTGTCACAAATATCAGATATGTCTCAGATGTGTGGAGGGGTTTGAGAGAGGTTCGCAGTTACCGTGGTCCAACAAGAGAGACAGCCACAACAATGGGCGTAGCTCCACTACTCTCGACATGCACAAAAAACAAAAATCATGGTGGTGTATAGCGCGGGCGTTAGGATGGAGGTGCAGGACCGCCACAAATGGCTGGCAGCGGCTGGCACATACATCCATGTCGGTTCGTGCAGGGCAAATTTGGGCCTGCCCGCGGCCTACGTATGAGAAAAGTACGGGTCGTTTAAAAAGGGCCCCCTGTCCTTCGGGACAGAGAAGATTAGCATGGCCCCCTGCGCAGGGTAGCGGAAGATTCGCTCCCGCTTTGGCGCACATGTCGAGAGTAGTGGAGCGAGTGTATGTCTGTCACACGCAAAAGCAACGGCCAACTCACCCAGAATCTGAAAGTCCAACTCGCAAGTATCACTAACATCCAGCAGAAGCGGAATGACCGATGAAATGATCATGACAGTGACTTGCGACTGCCATCTTACCCGGAAGACAATGCAGTGAATGGACCCTCATCAAGACTGTATTGCGCCAGAAGAATAGCTTGTATACATTCAAAATTGGGGTGCGTTGTTGTGTTCCGGGGAAGACGGCGCGCAGACGTGCATAAGCGCTGAAGTCCCCGGCCAGGACTTCCCAACCCTACCGTCTTCCCCCGAATACAACCTGTGTGCATAATTATAGCTGTATTTTTTTGGGACAACATTCAGTCTAGATACAGTAATAAGAACTGTATGCAAGACGGTGGTGCAAGCATCAAGCCAGCTAGCTGACCCCAACCTGTGAGTATGCTCCATTTCCGGGGAAGCACTGTGCAGAGCGCGATAAGAATTGGCAGACTGGATGCGGTCCATTTTTACACCCGCGAACTGTTGAAATACGGACCTCAGATCGAATCCCAATCTACTCAGAGACTATTCTGAATTTACCCTTCCGGGGGGCAAGTCAAGTTGACTTTGAAGGTGATATATCACAAGTCGGTCGCCCCTTTTGAAAAAACAAGGAATTTCGATGAGCAGTTAATCCCCTCGTTTGAGGGCAATCAATGCTGCTCATCAGTAAATGTCTGCGCATATACTACAAAGACATGTCTTTTCAAACAAATGATTACAATGTCCAGGGACGCTGGACCCGCTTTCCAGCAGGTGTCGCTCCCCACCAATAGATGGAGCCTCACCAAGAGTGCTAGTGGTGTCTGCTCCTATCAGCACCCCTAGCATTAGCTCGGCTGCTTTTCGTTATTTAAAAAAAGAAAGAAAAAAAAAAGGAAGGGGAAGAGGATGACCAAGGTTTCTTGCTTTTTACCACAACATGAAGTCCACAGCAGGGAACACAAGGATACACCAGCTGCACAACCAGGCAAATAGTACATCAGACCCATAGAAGATGGTTGAAAAAAAAAAAAAAAAAAAAAAAAGGCCAGAGTTGGCCTACTAGGGGGGGGCCGGATGGGGATGGTGTGGATGGCAGAACACATTTTCAGAGGCCTGTATAGAACCCAAATGTCCAGAATCCAGACCAATCACCCACTGTGACTGTGACATGGTTCTCAATGCCACAGCTAAAAAAGGATGTGCCGCTCCACACGAATAAATAGATGGAGCGTTTTGTAAAAGAAACAATTTATTGAATTTAAGAAAGAGTCATTTCCCAAGAACACACCTTTTTTTTTTTTTTTTTTTTTTTTTTTTTTTATAGATGGAGCGTTTTGTAAAAGAAACGAAGAAAGAATCATTTCTGTTTTTTTTTTTTTTTTATGAAGAACACTCTTTTTTTTTTTTTTTTAATTCGTATATGGGAAATCTACTTAACGAGGTGGGAAATCTACTTAACGAGGTGATAAGAGCATCCCCGTTAAGTAGGTCCCGGCGTCGAAGGCTCCATCTATTGGTGGGGAGCTACACCTGCTGGAAATCGGGTCCAGCGTCCCTGTACAATGATGTGAAAGTATCTGCTGGAAAGCGGGTCCAGCGTCCCTGTACAATGATGTGAATG